AAAAAAACGAAATTCTTGATGCTCGAACAAACTCTCGGTACTAAGGAAATTAGGGTAGGGCCTATTCATCAAAGCGATGACAAGAGCGTCCACGACTTCTTTGTGTTGTCCTGTAACATTCCAAGTTTATAACAAGTGTATACAGTATACAATATTTGGCGATATAGCTTAATGTAGTATAACAACATTCCCGCGTAGATTGAACTGCGGTGTACTCTGCAAACGAAATTTCTAAAGTTTAGCTTGTTAATTGCAATGTTTTGCCTCGTTTGTGCAACAACAATATTAGTAGGAAATGAACAAAGGTGCATCTTAACGAGAAAATAGGTATGATTTTTTCATCCATTATCCTACAATTGAAAAAAACAACAATTGAGCATGTTCCTGCAAAATTTAAACACATTTCTTTTACCATATGGAATATTAAAACAAAACAAAAAATTAAAATTTGAAATAACAACCACAATATCAAAACTTAGGAAGTTCTAACAGAAGAAACAACATAAGTAAAGGTAAACACAAAAGCATCGTTAACCGCAAAAGGCGCAGTCTAGAAGCATATTTAATGAATAAATTGAATACGGAAGATTATTAAAAGTGCAAGCATATCTTCTGAAGCCCATTGATGCTAAACGTAAATTTCTCTAAAATAACACTTATTTGTTCAGGTTTTTAAACGATGTTTAAATCTTAATTTAACTGAATTCAACTACGAACTTTGTGTCCAGTAGTGTGTTATTAACACTAAATACACGTTGTTAAACTATAATCCGAAATATCAAACTCTTATTCACCTAAAAGAGTATTCGGCAAAAATTATCATTTATCGCTTCATATGTTGAACATAAATCAGTTTACACTGAGAAAAATTTAATTCGCTTTGAGAAGTATTTTAACATATTGTACAAAAAAAATGATGAATGTGGATAAAAATCAAATTACACCTGCAGAAGCTACGCGCGCAAGACAAGTTGCCACAAACCAAATAAAAGGCAAAGATATTTGTGCCACCAATTTCATTTCTGAGAGTGACAGATTAACAAAAGACAACTCTAAATCGTTATTGGAAATAAAAAAAACAAAATATTGATAATTTTTGGACTCGCCTCCAAACGGCTCATGACGCCATAGTAGATTATGACGATTCACATCTACCACACAATTTTAAATCATCGGCTTACGCAATACACGAAAACTGCTTAAACCAGTAAGAAGAAACAAAAGCTATGATTTCTGATCAATTAAAGCTAATAAATACAATTGCAGCTACTCCATATCCGAGAGACGAGCTGCCACAAATACAAAATCAAGAGGCAAGTTCAGGCATCCACCTCGAGGTGCCCGCATGTGACACAGAAACATTATATGGAGGTTATGAAGAATGGCCGTCTTTCCGGGATAAGTTTACAGCCGTTTACATAAATCATCCTAAATTATCAAATGCACAAAAATTGTATCACCTCCGATACAAAACAAAAGGTTAAGCAGGCGTAATAGTAAAATAGTTCGCACTAAATGACGATAATTTCCATTTGGCTTGGGAAGCTCTAAAAGCAAGATATGAAAATTAAAGAATATTGGGCGATAAACAAGTAACGACACTAATAAACTTTCCTAAGATACAAAAGGCAAAAGTGAAGAATTTATTAGACTACTATCCACTGTTTTTAATTGTTTGTCGGTTCTTTTGACACAAAAAATCCCCCAAAAGACAGCTGGGACCAAATACTGGTAAATATATGCACCGCCACTTTACCTTTCTCATCTCGAAAAAAAATGCCCAACGTGGCAACAAATAAGATTTTCTAACTAGCCAGTACGAAATCGCTGAAAGGGTAGATTAAAAACTAATTAAAACAAAAATTATTCAACATGACTGCTGACGTAAGCGAAGTAAAGCATTAAGTTGTTTGGATTAGAAATAAAGACAAGTGTATAGCATTAAATTGGAACTTTCCAGTGATCGAACTCAATATTGTGTTATAAGGTAGACGATTTATCGAGAAATCCGTTACAATATATTAAAAAAATCTTCTAAATATGACACATATTTTTACATATGGTATATCCAATATCAAATTCCGGTAACCGCGACGATTTTCATTTTCAAGCAGCTGTTTTAACGCTGACATATTCAGCACCGTAGAATCATGTGTTGCCCAGGATATTTTGCGTTGATGTAGCGAACTCTTATTTTATTATCGCAAACCTGTAAATGCAAAAGTAAATGTAAGCAGCTACAAATGATTTACTTCAAACACTTACTATCATTGCATTTAAACTGAAATATCCTTTGCGGTTGTAATAATGTACAAATGTTAAAGCTCCTTTTTAGGGGCGACAATTTTAAAATGTGTCCTATCACTGCAACCTACTTCATAAAAGTAAATGCAACTTTGGGCAAACAAAAGTTTTTCAAAAACTTTAAATGATATGAATAATTCTAGGTAACTGCTTAAATAACACATAACAATACATACATTTGATCCTCCACCTCCAAAGGGTTAGATTCATCATTCAATTTTCTTCTTAATTTTGGTAACTCCGTTAAGCTAGCACTTTTATCCTCATTTTCGTAATCAAACTACAGTTCAACTCTATCCATTTTAACATATTGGCGTTGTTTATCATATACAATTTTCATATATTTTAATTTGCGTACAAGTGCAAACAAACTATCAAACAGCTGTTAACAATTCACATATTTATTTACAATTGAAATACTTTTGTCAATGAAGTTACAGAATTGTTAACCAATCAAATAATTATAACGGATTTCTCAATAAATGGTCTACCTTGTAAATCACTTTTGAGTTCGATCATGGGATTGTTAAATAAAAGTCCCAATTTAATGGTTATACACTTATCTTTATTTCTAATCCAAACAACTTAACGCTTTACTAATCATTATCCGAATTTACAACTTCTTACATATATCTTAATTGCTCTTTACATGGCAGAACTCTAATTAGAACTGTGTCTGCTGCCCAATCTGGCAGCCCTTATATAGAGATTTTAACAAAACATAGCCACTAGAACATTCTAGCAACTACGAATTCGCTGTCTGAGTTGATTCTGGCAATTTATCGTCGATTCGATTTATTCTATCATCCGTGTTTGTCACAATATAGTCGACTCAATCGACCGGAGTCTATTTTACTCCCAGTCGATATTCACAATAGAGGGGGTACATAAATATATGTAGCATAAGATAAAATATGCATTTAAATTTTTTACTTTTGTTTATAAATTAAACAAAAATTAAACATTGATGAAATCAAATTATTGTTATAAAATGTGTCTATTAGTTTTATTATAAAATGTAAGAAAAAGAACAAATTTGTATTTTATGCTTTCTTTTTAATGTAGTTGTATGTTAACAAATATTAAATATCAAATATATTCTGACATAGATGTTTTACGCATCCAAACCTTCCAACATGCGCTCATACCTATAGTTCATACAAAATTTTACTCGCGCCTGCCTCACATGATATTAATCAATCCTATATTACTCCGGTAGTCGTGACTTACGCGCAGGCATACATTGAATAATTCAATTCGATCCATGGTCGCAACGCAATATGCTGATATGATTGGATTTGAACCGAGGTCGGCCATACCGTTTAGTCGATCGTGATTACCGAATAATTATTCACATTGTATTGAATCAGCGATATCTGACTTAATCGTACTCGTTGCAGCTCTCTGGTACTTTCCCCTGTACTAACATTTGTTAGTCAGGTTGATTTATATGTACATTTGGGATATATAAAATAATGTGAACCATGATATATAATAAGCTAATAAGATACACCAAATAAAAAGGCGCCCACTCATTCCACAACCATAACCATCACCTTCCAGTCGCAATTCGTTGACGATCGGTTGTAGGTACACCAGAACAAGTGGGAAAGTCAACTATAGGCACTAGGGTCCACATATTTAATACCTAGGGGTTTGAACAGTTTGGTTCGATTTAGACAATTTTTATCATAAGGTGGCATACTTTTAACCCATTATTTATGCAAAGGTTTTCCCCGATACAATTATTGTTGCTTGATTTGCATAGTTGAAAGTGAAATAATCAGATGGAATTTAAAGTGGTGTTATATGAAAAATAGGCATGGTTGTATCGGATTTCGCCCATTTTCGCACTATAACATAAAAATATGAGAAGAATTTATTTACCGAATTTGGTTAAAATGGTTAAGCAGATCCCATGATATGGATTTTCACCTAAAATTGGGCCACGCCCACTGTGTTGATTTTGAACGCGCTTCCTACAAAGTCATCTCATACCATCCTAGACCCTACGTTTCACCTACTTTTCTCATTTGTTCTCAATGAATTTGTTAATATAGCTTTGCGGTTTAGGAGATATGCACATTGAACCTATAAGGGGACGGGATCACGCCCACGTTAAAAAATTTAAAGTGCAGATGCCTTCCTTAATGTGAAACGAATTTTGTATTTCTTAAGAATATTTAATTTATTTATTCATGAATATCCATTTAGTCCCTTCAAAGTAATCACCCTCGATATAATGCACTTATGCCAGCGGTTCTTCCAATTCTCAAACCACTTAAGAAAGTAATTTCTTGTGATCTTGATCAGTTTTCCTTCGATGTAGTTTTCTCCTTTGATACAGTCATCTCCTCAATCGTAGCGTAGCGTCGTCCTTTCATGAGCTTCTTTAGTTTTGGACACAAAAATTGTTTTTGTTCTTCCACAAACCCGAGACTTCTGTCGGATTACTTGGAGCAAATTGCCCATAACTTGCAGATAATATTCATATATATTCTAATGGTAATTCGACGATTGGCCATACTATTCTTTAATCCGTTTTTGTAATAAGCCAAAATCGAAAACGAACCAAAAAGCGTCCAAGCAAACCAGCTCTCAAAAATTAAATAAGTAAGGAAATAAGTACCAATATAATGCAACAAAGCAATCGAAAATCGAATACACCTAGGCCATGAAATTCTCGATACTTTGAGCAAACCTCGTACTCGCCAATCTTTCAGCATTTGTAAAAATTCTTTCGATAAAGGCACTATATTAGTTTTGAATTTGGTTAGGATCATTTCAAAATTACTGGAAATCTAGCTCTTTATAAATATATTAATGTCATGGTTTAAATATTTTGAGTTACCATTGATCTTTCGATTTATGGTAGGAGTGGATATTGAAGCTTACATCTCAAAACATAATGCCAGAAGTACGGACTGGTCTAAGTACAGGGAAATCCTTGAAAGTGCCATAAGACTAAACCAGTTCCGCAATGAAAACAACTGCCAAGGGACAGATATAAACCTTGGGGAGCTTTGTCAAGCCAAAAAACGAAATTCTGATGCTCGAACAAACTCTCGGTACATAGGAAATTAGGGTAGGGCCTATTCATCAAAGCGATGACAAGAGCGTCCACGACTTCTTGTGTTGTCCTGTAACATTCCAAGTTTATAACAAGTGTATACAGTATACAATATTTGGCGATATAGCTTAATGTAGTATAACAACATTCCCGCGTAGATTGAACTGCGGTGTACTCTGCAAACGAAATTTCTAAAGTTTGCTTGTTAATTGCAATGTTTTGCCTCGTTTGTGCAACAACAATATAGTAGGAAATGAACAAAGATGCTCTATCTTCTCTTTTTTTTTTATTAACACTAAATACACGTTGTTAAACTATAATCCGAAATATCAAACTCTTATTCACCTAAAAGAGTATTCGGCAAAAATTATCATTTATCGCTTCATATGTTGAACATAAATCAGTTTACACTGAGAAAAATTTAATTCGCTTTGAGAAGTATTTTAACATATTGTACAAAAAAAATGATGAATGTGGATAAAAATCAAATTACACCTGCAGAAGCTACGCGCGCAAGACAAGTTGCCACAAAGCAAATAAAAGGCAAAGATATTTGTGCCACCAATTTCATTTCTGAGAGTGACAGATTAACAAAAGACAACTCTAAATCGTTATTGGAAATAAAAAAACAAAATATTGATAATTTTTGGACTCGCCTCCAAACGGCTCATGACGCCATAGTAGATTATGACGATTCACATCTACCACACAATTTTAACTCATCGGCTTACGCAATACACGAAAACTGCTTAAACCAGTAAGAAGAAACAAAAGCTATGATTTCTGATCAATTAAAGCTAATAAATACAATTGCAGCTACTCCATATCCGAGAGACGAGCTGCCACAAATACAAAATCAAGAGGCAAGTTCAGGCATCCACCTCGAGGTGCCCGCATGTGACACAGAAACATTATATGGAGGTTATGAAGAATGGCCGTCTTTCCGGGATAAGTTTACAGCCGTTTACATAAATCATCCTAAATTATCAAATGCACAAAAATTGTATCACCTCCGATACAAAACAAAAGGTTAAGCAGGCGTAATAGTAAAATAGTTCGCACTAAATGACGATAATTTCCATTTGGCTTGGGAAGCTCTAAAAGCAAGATATGAAAATTAAAGAATATTGGGCGATAAACAAGTAACGACACTAATAAACTTTCCTAAGATACAAAAGGCAAAAGTGAAGAATTTATTAGACTACTATCCACTGTTTTTAATTGTTTGTCGGTTCTTTTGACACAAAAAATCCCCCAAAGACAGCTGGGACCAAATACTGGTAAATATATGCACCGCCACTTTACCTTTCTCATCTCGAAAAAAAATGCCCAACGTGGCAACAAATAAGATTTTCTAACTNCTTTTACCATATGGAATATTAAAACAAAACAAAAAATTAAAATTTGAAATAACAACCACAATATCAAAACTTAGGAAGTTCTAACAGAAGAAACAACATAAGTAAAGGTAAACACAAAAGCATCGTTAACCGCAAAAGGCGCAGTCTAGAAGCATATTTAATGAATAAATTGAATACGGAAGATTATTAAAAGTGCAAGCATATCTTCTCGAAAAAAAATGCCCAACGTGGCAACAAATAAGATTTTCTAACT